CCATAAATCATCAAATACGCTAAACTGGACCCCTTTTCCAACATTAAGCTGTGCACACATTAAATCAAATCAATCTGCCAAACTAAAATCATCATAATTTGTAGAATATGCATATCTATCTGACAAGTATATGGTCTCTACCTTGTGAGTATCCAATAGTCTTCCTACATAGCGGGTTCCTTCATGACTAATTGAAACTCCGTACTCATGTGTGCGGAGTTTGAATTTATTCCGGAAGAATACCGAAACACTTGGTCATTTGATTTACTGGATGTTCTAGGCCGGAGAAGTCTGAGCTGAAGAGGTCCATGGACTGGTCTATGGGACTGAAATATAGGGTTAGGGGTCTGCACGAACCTTGCGTTGCCCGTGTCGCCGCCAAACCTAACAAAGAAAAGAAGCAAAAGAAAGAGGTAGTATAAACGATGTACCTTCGTTCCTCAGGCATCGTAACCATGATATTGGGGATCTTTAATGTGTTAGTAAAATAGGAAGCGAGATGAAGATGCAGAACGTAGATACCTTGTCAAGTATCATCCTCATAATTCTCAATTATTGCCTCTAGCTCTCTAATCTCGATTGCATAGGCAAGTTGATAAGCAGCCTTCTCACTTTTCTGCAGATGGGAAACATCAAATCCAAGGGTGATCTGGACCTCCTCCTGTCGCAGATCCAACTTAACCTCATCGACAAGGATATGGATAAGGATGTCAACACGTTGCTTACGCATAAGCCTCAGGTAGTCACGTTTGAGGAGCAAGTGCCACAATTCAGTATAGTTGTTGGTATCAAATTGAACTGGGAGATGTCCTGATGGAGTAAATGAGCACACATATATCTCAGTATAACAACTCTCATCCTCCTCTGACTCACATCGAACAAGTGTCTTGAAGTCCAACATTACCTTTGTGCACAACTTTTTGATTTGCATTAATAGCTGATTTGGACCGGCCAGCACTTGGGGACTAAGGGAGTATTACTATGGTTGAAGATACAGGATAACCAAGAAAAGATAAGATACCAATTTCTCCTTCGCTTGTTTGACTATAGCTTCACGCACATGCCACAGACAAGCAAGTATCTTTGCATCGGGAATAGTGTTAGATATTGCTGCAATTGCCGTGTCAGAGCGGTCAATCATCCATGTTTTTGCACTTGAATTTGCAGAAGGAATGCAGCCAGCTAAGCCAATCACAGATTACATACCTATTAATAATAGATTCAGTTGCTAGTATCAAAGAATTATGATATGAGGAGAATATTACTGAACCTCGCTAGGTGTTACCATAAAGACAGCCAGTATACCCTTGCCCACCTTCTTGTTCTTGAAGACAATGGTGTAAAGAGAGGACTTATTATTGCTCGAAGACTCAACAGAGAAAGATGTGTTGTGCAGGGAGTCCAGACACGCAATCTCAAAGCTAGTATCGAGATGCTATCATATATATATGAGTACTAAGACCTTAAAGAAAGATCGAAGAGAAATGAACATGTGAGGCGCAGATAATCAAGCACTCGAAGAGACGACTGTGAGAAGTGTCACTGTCAATGATATTGCCCTCACAAAGTAATAGAAAAATAAAGAGACAAAATCTATAGTAAGACTCACCTGTGAGAAGCATCACTGACGTGACAGTCCGATAAATACGTCGAACTTGCCAAATGTGATATCGCAACTGGGCATGCTGTTGACAGTACAGGCGGGTATCGGATTGGGCGTGGGTGAGTTGGTGGCAATGACGAGGTTGAAGACGAGGACAATGGAAGCTAGGCCACCAGTTACGCAGCTGGCCATTGTATCTAATCGGGAGGAAAAGGAGGTAGCGGAGGTCAATGAGGAGGTGCTAATGCGGAGGTTTGAAGTGGTGGTGGATGAGGTTGAAAGGGACGCACCTGAGCCCATATTGTCTTCCTCTATGACTGCTATACCTTTTGTTGTACATTCCTTCATTCCCGTATCCATCCAAATCGCACGCCTGTTGTTTAGGGAGTTTGTGTGCACGGCATAGGTCGGGTGGTGGGAGACGAAGAACAAGAGTTGCAAGGCGCGTCATCACCACAGCCTCACGCCACGTGTTTGTTTGGCCGTGTTTGACTGATGTTGACTTTTGCATCGAGTCGCGACTTGTTCAAACTTATCACAAACACCCACAATCGCCCACATCTAACATAGACCACGATCATCCCTCTTGTCGGCCACGATGCAGTGGTCCCGCAAAGTTCTCACTAAAGATTACCTCTTAGGGTACCTGGTAACATCCGCCAGACAGTACATTCTGTTTTTGTGAACATTTGGCATCATTGGCACATCTGTCCTGGCGGCAATTGAGTTCTCCAAACACAGTTTCGCCTTAGCAACATTGTGCATTCTGTCCGCCATCATAATCTCACTCCTAATCTGGGGTCACCTCAATGGCTGTGTCGCTCAGTCTCTCTGCAGAGAACTTCACGAGCAGATATGCTGTGTCATGCAATGTCGAGCTGCACGTTTGTATGCCCGTCCAATGCGCCCTACGCCTACGGAACCCATTTGTGAAGCATTGAAGGCCACACCCAACAAAGCAAAGCCTTACGGTATGTGCCACCCTTACGTCCTCATTCCAAGTGTTATTCTAACTGAAGTATGACCAGGCCCGAAGGAGTACACGAGCAAAATAAATGCTGCCAGTGGTGCTGGGAGCACGTCACATATTTCAGGAGGATCAAAGTGTCCACTCTGTCTCCACTACATCAGCGAGTTCTGTACGTTGTTGATCTGTCATCGCTCATAAATGTCTGTAGGCTTATGATGTGTTTCAATGAAGGTCCGACCAAATGTTTCAAGTTCTACCGGAACGATACCGGCTTACCGGGAATGTGGAAGATAGCCGTTGAAGAGTAAGCATCATCATCCTCATAAGTGTCTCTGCGGAAAGATTGGCTAACATGTTACAACGAGAGCAGTCGTTATGACGATCGGAGATACCCCAATATGTCTGATAATGACAGATTCTCGTCGTCCACCGAGAACAGCTTCCTGTAAGCTACTATCTTGTGCATAAATTAGCATCATCTCATGCTTTCCTTCTTGCCATCATAGCCTAGGCCACACCAAACAGTGTGGAAACAGCCGTCACTACACTGAATGCTATCAGCCCAAAGCTGAACTCCAACCTCATATTCCCCAAGCAGTCCAGCCAGTTAGACCTCACACCCCGTCTCATCGCCTTTCAAGCCCTCCTCGAGAAATTGTCATGTGCTCAACTGAGCTCTCTATAAAGGACTGGGAGGCAAAGACGTGAGATTTGGAGGCAAAGACGCGAGGTTGGGAGGCAAAGACGCGAGTTTTAGAGGCAAAGACGCAAGGTTTGGAGGCAAGGATCAGAAGTCGAGCTTTGCAGTTGGCGATATGCAGGATTGACCCCTCTATGGACCTCGAAGAGGACCTTTTGAGGGACGCTGGGGTGCTCAATGAACTCCGTAGGCGTAACAAGCTCGAAATGTGTATCAGCGGCTGCTAGCTTTCAAGCAAATGCCAGTTGACCAGCAGATGACTTTCGGCTCGTCGGCGACACTCTAACTCAGAGCCTCCACCAATTGTCAGCCCTCCAGTGGCTGGGTGTCCGAGCGGCCAGCAGAGGACTTTGGTCTTTTTATGGAGGCTCTTCAAGCTGGGGATGACACCAAGTGACTTCAGTCAACGAAGTAGAGGATCTAGGGTTAGGAGCTGGTCAGGGTTGAGGATCGAAGGTTGCTGGTGCCACCCGTGTATGTGTCTGCGAAGTTCTCTTACATATCTCAGTTCAACTTGTTGACTTTTGCCCCATCGTCGATTTGTATCTTCACTTTCTATCTATGTACGTACACAGTCATCTGTGTATCAGCGACGAGGAGGTTGTTCATTTCCTATGCACTACCATTTTCCCCCTTGCTTTACCTTCTCCTCCTAACCATCTGCATGCAGAGGTCTCTGTGTGTTGACGGCAAGGAAGTTCGATTTTCGCATAATACTACCTTTCTTCTCAACGGGCCTTCGATACATGGCTGCTTTTAGTACCCATCACAGTACAGAAACTTGACTACTAGTACGACACAGACTTCAACTTTTCAAGAACCTAACAAGCACCTCAAAGTACTTACATCTCTTTTTCTTCTCATATGACTACTTGTATCGAGTTGTACCTACTTGACCTTGTATATATTCTCGAAATGAACACACTTGTCCTGCGGTTCATCCCCGATTGAGACAAGGACGCTTCCCACTAGTTAAAATGACGCGCTTCAGCGCTTACCGGTCTACTATACAGTTGGAAAAGTAACTGCCTAAACGGGACGCAGTGCGGCGGATCCCGAGGCGCGGAATCCGGCGCTCTGCGGACCACTTGGTGGTGAAATAACTAAAGTCATAACTCTGCAGTAAGTGGTCCTATCAGTCTCAGAAGAATTGCTAAAATATCAAGAAAATTCCCTCTGTCTTGTCGTAATACTCCGGACAGGAAGAGGATGTGGGAGAATAAGTGAGTTAATAGTCGAAAGAGCCCTTGAGATAGTGAAAGAGATGCTTGATCGCTTTCCAATGCTGAAAGCCTGGATTCTGGCTAAAGCGAGCGAGGACTCCCACGCTGTGAGCTATGTCTCAAACTCACAGGCCTGATCGAGGGTGAGATACTCCGTCCCCATAAAGTCCAATCCAGTCGAAAACAGCGCAGCAGAGTCGTAGGCATAGCTATCTTCGTCCTCCGACTCCAAGATAGGATCTGGAATCCGAGTTTCTCTCCATGTGGGAGTATCCGGAGTCGTCTCCAAAGGGTCAGGGCTATCGTCGCCTATGAGAGGCTTATGGATACAAGGAGGTGTCTGGAAGTGAGGAGTAGGGAGACGGAGAGGATCCTGAGATACCGAGCGAGGTGGGACAGAAGGAGTGTGATGAGGAGGACGATCGTTGCGTTGCTGAATGGTGTTCTCATTGAGAGACTTGTCTGGATGAGTGGAACGGCCTGGATTGCGTCTAGGAGGAGGAGATGGAGATCGTTCTGGAGTGGGAGATGAATGGGGCAATGGGGTACGAGGATGTGGTGGTGGTGCCTGATGAGGAGGCTGAGGAGGCGCTAAGTCGACATGCTGCGGAGCTAGGGGAGGTGGCGGATTAATAAACTCGCCAGAGGCGTCCAATTCTCCTCCTGATCCGTCACCTCTACCAAAGAAAGACCAGGAGTATCACTGGGAGATAAATCATCGACCAGATTAATAGCTAGAGTGGGGTTATTAAGGAAGAAACATTCATCGAACACAGCACGAGAGCTAATGGTGATCCTATGCTCAACCGGGTCCCAAAACTGCCACACCTTCACTCCATTCCCATACCCAACGCTTGCGAGTATGCGAAGTGAACGGCTTCCGGTTCTCCTTCCTAACGAGCACATAGGCAAGGCAACCGAAGACGCGGAAGTAGGAAGCATCGGGCTTCTTCTTCTTCCAAGAGACGTAGGGAATGCCGCCATTCAGAGCAGAGGTAGGCGTACGATTGGAGACATGGATATAGGCAGAGACGGCGAGATCCCAGAATGAAGTAGGGAGCTTAGCTTCGATAAGCATCGCTGTAGTAGCAAGAGCCATGTCGAGATTCGCCTTCTCTGCTACGCCGTTTTGATGGGGTTCGTTAGGCTCGGTATGCTGGCGAAGAATCCCTTCCTCTGCACAATACGCATCCCAATCCTTCCCAATATACTCTCCTCCCTTATCGTCCCTCAACATCTTAATCTTCCTCCCTAGCGCCTTCTCTGCATACGCTTGAACACTCTGAAAGCCCCAAAAGCCTCACTCTTCTTCCTCAAGAACTGAACTGCCTTGAAACGTCCAGCATCGTCGATAAACGTGACCCAGTAGCGCTACCCGTTGCGGGTGGGAGGGAGGGGACCCTTGAGATCACTATGGATGAGATTGAGAGGGTGAGAGCGATGAGTAGCGGTCTTGGGAACGTTATGACGACATTGCTTCCCAGAGAGACAAGGCTCGCAGATAGGATTGGGCGTAGAGGAGGAAGAAATGGTTAGGCCGTCAACGAGACGGCATTGATATAAGGAATAGAGCGCATCTGCAGCTCTTCTTTGTACGATTGGGGCGCCATGGAGGTGGAAAGGCCAATGGAAGGGTCAAGGGGAGTGGAAACCGGACTGCAATCGGAGAAATTGAAGCGATCAAGGAGGTCTAAGACGTACTGGCGTTGGGAGAGGCGAATGGTATGATTGCGAGCACTTACAAACTCTCTTCCTATTACAAGTGATGGAGTATGTTCTTACAGACTTGGCACTTTGACGGGAACGTGGGAGTATACACTAAAATAGTATCAACGCCTTTGCGCCCTCGTCTGTCCAATCCACCAGCCTCACATGATTCATCTCCGAGCTCAGTGCCAAGCGCCCCGCCCTCCTCTCCACTCAACACGGACACTTCAACTATCGTGACACCCACGGCGGCCAAAGTGTCAGCTAGACCGAGAGACCTGTTAATACCCGAGGGCCCACGTCCGCCAAGCAAGCTCACAGCCTTGCTTGCTGCTGCGAAGCCTCCTTCTGCACCTGCGATCGACTTGACAGGAGACGATGATGATGGCAACCTTCTGGAGATTAAATCTGTGTCAACGACTACCCGTGCATCTGTGTCTCATAAGAGGAAACATCTAGACGAAGTGAGCATCAAATCAGAGCTCACAGATGCCGATGTCATTGTTCTGTCCGATGACGACGATGCTCGTTCTGGGGCCCATCATGTTCCTCCAAAGCCGAAGCGTGCTCGTCGACCAGCAACAGTAGCTGGCTCTGATTTCCAAACTAAGATCACTCGTCAATGCCATGTGAAGACGATCGTGACCCTTACAGAGATTCCGAAAATATGGATCATTCCTCGGGAGGAAGGTGTTGCATATATTGTTAAGCTTTCCGCGCAGCCCGAGATGGAATGGAAACGGGATGCAAGTGGCGCACTGATGAATATGGTGGCGATCATCACGTCTCAGGTACGAAATGTCCGGAGTATTACGACGAGACAGAGGGAATTTTCCTGATATTTTAGCAATTTTTCCGGGACTGATAGGACCACTTACTGCAGAGTTAAGACTTTAGTTATTTCGCCAGCCAGCGGGCCGCAGAGGGCCGGATTCCGCGCCTCGGTTCCGCGCCTCTGCGTCCCGTTTAGGCAGGTAGTTTTCCAACTGTATAGTAGACCGGTAAGCGCCGGAGCGCGTCCTTTTAACTTGTGGGAAGCGTCCTTGTCTCTTTATCATTGACAGTGACGCTTCTCACAGTCGTTCTTCGAGTGCTCGATTATCTGCGCCTCACAGGTTATGGGCCCTGCGCTTTAAATGGCCTCAGAACGTTCTGCTTAGCTCCTAATTGATCTCTGAGACTCAGATCTCTCTCTACTCGCCTCAGAACGAGCTCTCTGCTTCTCTCTCTTTGCGCTAGACTCGTCGTCATCGATATCTACTCACTGCATTCGCCCTCTTCTCGATCAGACTCATTTTGCGCCTCTTATCGACGTCTCCATCTCTTCCCTTGGCCGAAAATCGCCTCTTCATCGATTAGCTTCGTTTCGCCTCCCCTGAATCGCTATCGCCTCCGTTTCTTCACTATCCAATCCGCCATCATGTCCGACGACAAACGCGCCGTTGACAAGCTCAATCGCCACAACTACAGCTACTGGGTCGACAATGCTGAAGCTGTCCTCGGTTCTAAGGGTGTTTGGGGCCAAGTCGATGGCACTGACATCGCTCCTACCCCTCCCAACGCCTCGGCCATGACCGCGTCCGAAGCGAAGGAGATGAGGGAGTGGAATCAGAGGAAGGCGAAGGCTAGTGGGGAGATTTGCTTGTTGGTTGAGGAGAATCAGAAGGCGCATATCAGGAAGGAGAAGGGAGATCCGAAGGCGATGTGGGAGAAGTTAGAGAGTGTCTTTGTGCAGAAGAAGACTGGTACGCGATTCGACGCTTATTCCGAACTCTTCTCCACTCGTCTCCAAGAGGGAGAGTCCCTCTCCGACCTCGTTGCTCGTGTCGACCTCTACATCTCCCATATCAAAGAGCGCCGCCCCGCCAAGTTCTCCCTTGACGACCTCGACTCCGAATTATCGTCCATGACGCTCATCAAGGCCCTCCCTTCCGACTACAACAACTTCGTCACCTTCCTTACCCTCTCCGACGACCTCTCCCTCGACAACGTCACCCAAGCCTTCTCCAATGAGGAGCAATCTCGCAAACGTCGTGCCCTGCAGAATGAAGACACTCCTGAGCTCGCTATGGCCGCCGCTCTCAAGCCCCTTTGCTACTTCTGCGACTCTCCCTCCCACATCGTTCGTGATTGTCCTGAGATGAAGTCTGCGTCGTCATTGGCCAAGCAGAAGTCGTCTGGATCGTCTACGTCGTCGTCATCGCATTCTGGAGGCCAAGGGAAGCGTGGGGGTCGTGGTAGAGGTAGAGGGAAGGGCGCGAACGCGAATGAAGCCCAAGGAGGGGCTTCTACGCCGTCGGCTGGTTCGGGAGAGACTCCTAAGGAGGAGAAAGCCGGTCATGCAAGTGCTCTTTCATCATCAGCTCGCCCCGCTTGGCTCCGTTCTCGTGCAGCCACTGACTGGAACACAGACACAGGCGCCTCTTCACACATGATCCCTCATCGCCATTGGTTCTGCTCGTACTCTCCCCACGTCGTGCCCGTTCGTTTGGCCGACGATTCAGTGATCTATTCTCAGGGGATGGGGTCTATCGAGTTCGTTCCTATTGTCAGTGGTAGAGAGTTGCGTCCTGTAGTGTTCCATGACGTCCTGCACGTTCCCAAGCTCGCCTCGAATCTATTCTCGTTGTTCCATCTCTCTGTGAGCAAGGGCTATGAGCTTCACATCGTCGGGCGTGACGTCGCTTTCAAGCGAGCTGGAGAGCTGCTTTTTACCGCCTCCATCGTCGACGGCAACATCGGCTATCTCAATGGGCGTACTTCCTCCTTTGGAGTTCATCATGCGCGTTTATCTTCTACTTTGCCACTCGATCTCTCTCTCTGGCACCGCCGTTTCTCTCATACCAACTACGACGCCGTTAAACGCATGCATACCCTCAAGCTCGTTGACGGTCTTACCATTTCTTCCTCCTCTACGCCCGATCCTATCTGCGAGCCTTGTCTCTCAGGGAAGCAACGTCGTCATAACGTTCCAAAGACCGCTACTCGTCGCTCTCACCCTCTCGATCTCATCCATAGTGATCTCAAGGGTCCCCTCCCTCCCACCCGCAACGGGTATCGTTACTGGGTCACGTTTATCGATGATGCTGGACGTTTCAAGGCGGTTCAGTTCTTGAGGAAGAAGAGTGAGGCTTTTGGGGCTTTCAGAGTGTTCAAGCGTATGCAGAGAAGGCGCTAGGGAGGAAGATTAAGATGTTGAGGGACGATAAGGGAGGAGAGTATATTGGGAAGGATTGGGATGCGTATTGTGCAGAGGAAGGGATTCTTCGCCAGCATACCGAGCCGAACGAACCCCATCAAAACGGCGTAGCGGAGAAGGCGAATCTCGACATGGCTCTGGCTACTACAGCGATGCTTATCGAAGCTAAGCTCCCTCCTTCGTTCTGGGATCTCGCTGTCTCCGCCTATATCCATGTCTCCAATCGCACGCCTACCTCTGCTCTGAATGGCGGCATTCCCTACATTGCTTGGAAGAAGAAGAAACCGATGTTTCCTACTTCCGCGTCTTCGGTTGCCTTGCCTATGTGCTCGTCAGGAAGGAGAAGCGGAAGCCGTTCACCTCGCATACTCCCAACTGTATCTTTGTTGGGTATGGGAATGGGGTGAAGGTGTGGCAGTTTTGGGACCCGGTTGAGCGTAGGACCGTCATTAGCTCTCATGCTGTGTTTGATGAACACTTCTTCCCTGGTAACTCCACTCTTGCTACAGTAACGAAAATAAAAATTGCACGCACAGTGGTTTGAATTTGTATGTAGCGGTTCCCGACAAGGGTCACGGATTAGAGTCAGAATATGATATGTATGTGTAGTTTACCTTCCAGAGTACATGTACACGCAAGGACAATATCGTCCAGGCTTTGACGAGAAAGATGGTTAGCCGAATTTGCAACAAGTTTCAGAACTTGCCGCTGGTGAACGCGATCAGGACGCGACTCGGTTCAGGATCGCTCAACAATATCACAATCTTCAACGACCTTTAACGACTTTCTTGAATATATTTGCTCTCTTCACATCTTTCTATACACTATCATTATGCCCAAGCACACCACACCCACCACCAGAGCTCGTATAGTATATCAACTCAAACTGGGTGCACACCCGAACGATGTCGCCCGTGCATTCAAACGTCACCGTGCGACCATGGTCCGTCTCTTCGAGAAATACAAGAACAGCTCGTCATTCTATCACACCAAACCCCGCCCTGGTCGTCTTAGGAAGTTTACGGCTCGCGACGGCCATTTTGCTGTATGGAAGATACGTTCTGGGGAGGCAACCGAGGCAACCGACCTCCAGCGAAAATTCTTCCCTAACGTTACACCACAAACCGTCTGTCTCAGACTCACCGAGCTTGGCCTCCCTGGCTATCGTCACCGTCGCAAGTTCGTCCTTCTTGTGGTGACAAGATATCACGCTTGCGATGGGCATGTCAGCATGAGGATTGGGAGCGTGTCGTTCTCTCAGATGAGTTCAGAATCAACCGGTGGGGGTCGGATGGGATGCGCTGGTGTAGGAGGGGTCTGGGAGAGGGTCTTCGGGATTCAAATGTGTGGCAGGAGATGAAGCATGGTGGCAGTCATCTTATGGTCTGGGGCTGCATCACGAGTAGAGGGTTTGGACGGCTTCACAGAATACAGGGGAACATGGATTCAAAACAGTATGTGTCTATTCTGGAGGAGTCCCTTCTCGGCACGCTTCGCGACCACTCCCTTTCCCCGACCGATGTCATCTTCCAACACGACAACGACCCAAAACATACATGCCGCCACACACGACAGTGGTTGACTTCGCAAAACCTCTCTGTACTCCCGTGGCCAGCCCGTTCACCAGACATGAACTGTATTGAGAATGTCTGGGACGTCCTCAAGATGCGTGTTGGTGCTATTCGACCTCGCCCGAAGAATTTGGATGAGTTATGGGAGGTCATTCAGCGGGAGTGGGAGAAGTTGGGAGAAGAGTATTGCAGGACCCTATATGAGAGCATGCCCCGCCGCATTGATGCTCTCAAGCAGGCAAAGGGTAGGTACACCAAGTACTGATAGCCATTTGTTCAATCACACTCCTTTTGCTATCTATTTTTGTGTTTTTTTGTCATGCTTCCATGTGGCCCAACTGGATGCCCTGCTTCAAATACTGATTTTATGATTTTATCTCTTTTGCTGATGCCCCAATGGCCTCCATCATCTAAGTATACTTCAAATAGAATGGAAGGGTACATGATACAAATTTATTTGTTCGAGTACTTGTGTAACAGCATGCAAAAGTCTTGGTGCCACACATGTGTGCAATTTTTATTTTTGTTACTGTATTAATCTGGTCGACGATTTATCTCCCAGTGATACTCCTGGTCCTTCTTTGGTAGAGGTGACGGATCAGGAGGGAGAATTGGACGCCTCTGGGGAGTTTATTAATCCGCCACCTCCCCCAGCTCCGCAGCACGTCGACTTAGCCCCTCCTCAGCCCCCTCATCACGTGCCACCGCCACATCCACGTACCCCTTCACCCAATTCATCTCCCTCTCCATCTCCCACTCTAGAATGATCTCCATCTCCTCCTCCTAGACGCAATCCAGGCCGTTCTACTCGTCCAGACAAGTCTCTCAATGAGAACGCCATTCAGCAACGCAACGATCGTCCTCCTCATCGCACTCCTTCTGTCCCACCTCGCTCGCTATCTCCGGATCCTCTTCGGCTTCCTACTCCTCGATTCCAGACTCCTCCTTGCGTGGATAGGCCACTTATAGCCGACGATAGCCCTGATCCTTTGGCAGCGACTCCGGATACTCCCACTTGGAGAGAAACTCGGATTCCGGATCCTATCTTGGAGTCGGAGGACGAAGATAGCGATGCCTACGACTCTGCTGCGCTGGTTTCGACCGGATTGGACTTCATGGGGACGGAGTATCTCACCCTCGATCAGGCCTGCGAGTTTGCCCATGCGCTGAAGACAACGTCACACGATGGAGAGCCTAGATCGTTCAAGGAGGCGATGAAGTAGGAGCCGAAGGAGAGGCAGAAGTGGTGGGAAGCGGCTTTGAGTGAGATTCAGTCTCTGGTAGAGAATGGGACGTTTGAGCTGGTCGAGTTACCAAGGGGAGCGAAAGCGATAGGTAGTAGATGGGTTTTCAAGGTGAAGCGGAACGCGGACGGTTCGATTGAGCGGTATAAGGCGCGTTTGGTGGCCCAAGGCTTCTCTCAGCGTCCTGGATCCGACTACCACGAAACCTTCGCTCCTACGCCTCGCTGGGCAGCTCTACGCGCCGTTCTCGTCTTAGCCGCCTTCGAGGATCTCTATCTAGAGAGTGTTGACATCTCATCCGCTTTCCTGAATGGTACGCTCAAGGAGACCGTGTTTATGCACCAACCCGAGGGATTTGAGGAGAAAGGAGCTGGTTGGGTGTGGAGGTTGAAGAGGTCATTGTACGGGTTGAAGCAGGCTGGAAGGGTTTGGCATGAGACATTGAACGAGAGGTTAGAGGAGATGGGATTCAAGCGGATTCTCTGTGAGCACAGTATCTGGGTGTTTGGTCAAGGGGATTCGCGCATTATCATACCCGTCTTTATTGACGATATGACGATTGCTGCAAAATCCAAGGCTGAAGTTGACCGGGTCAAGTTGGAGCTTAAATCTCACTTCAAACTTCGCAATCTTGGTCCTACTTACTTTCTTCTAGGTGTTTCTATCGAACGGGATCGTCCCAATCGTACCATTCGCCTCTCCCAACGCCAGTACGTCTTAGACCTCCTCGATCGCTTCAATTTCGCCGATTGCAGTCCGGTTTCCACTCCCCTTGATCCTTCTATTCGCCTTTCCACCTCCATGGTGCCCCAGTCGTACGAAGAGGAGCTGCAGATGCGCTCTATTCCTTATATCAATGCCGTCGGAGCCTTGGCCTACCTTGCGATCGCCACTCGTCCAGACATAGCTCACAGCGTCGGAGTCCTTGCTCGCTTCAGCCAGAATCCAGGTCTTCAGCATTGGAAAGCGATCAAGCACCTCTTTCGCTATCTCAAGGGCTCTCTCGACTATAAACTCACTTATTCTCCCACTTCCTCTTCCTCCACTGAGCTCTTCCACACCTACACCGACGCCGATCATGCAGGCAATCCGGATTCTGGACGTTCCACCTCCGGTTATCTCGTCAAGATGGGCACTGGCGCTATTTCCTGGCAATCTCGCCTTCAATCCATCGTCGCCCTCTCCACCACAGAAGCCGAATACATCGCTGCTACCACTGCTGGCCAAGAGATCCTCTTCCTTCGCAACTTGCTCACTTCCTTTGGTTATTCACTCGACTCTCCCTCTACCCTCTACATCGACAATCAGTCTGCGCTTCAAGTGGCGAAGAATCCCGAGCACCATGGGCGTATGAAGCATCTAGACTTGCGGTTCTATTGGTTGAGAGATGAGGTGGAGAAGGGGATGATCCGGATGGAGCATATAGGGACGGATGAGATGCCTGCAGACCTTCTGACTAAACCCTTGGCTAGGGTTAAAGTGCAGAAGTTTGCGGAGATGATGGGGCTTAGGGCTTGAGGTCTGCCTCGTCGGGAGGGAGTGTCCGGAGTATTACGATGAGACAGAGGGAATTTTCCTGATATTTTAGCAATTTTTCCGGGACTGA